GAACGATCGTCTAGTAAGGTCGAAAAACTAATGTACGTATATATAAACTAGATACGTATAAGCTAAGGTATCTATATATTTTTTTTTCTTCATTTAGCTTTTCGGTAGATTATTCCCTGGTAGAATCACTTTCGTCGCCCCTCAGTGTCATTGAATAACAACCACTGCTACCAGCACAAAACCCAGCCTGAACGCTAAAATCGCCACTGAGGTAGTTTTTGTGGACTGGTATATTAGAGAAAAGCCATGGGGGTCAAATTTTGGTACAAAGATATAAACAAGTAGACAAAAAAAAAAGATATATTTAAATACTTATAAATTAGGAAGGAAGCCTTGCCAATTTCGCTGATTGCCTATTCATCCGCAGGGCCGGAAGTTCCTCGTACGACTACGTCTGGCCACGCAATTTCTCTGCCTCGTTATACGTGTCCTTCGATGTTTCTCGTTTGTTACAATATGACGTTGACACTCCCATTTCACATGTGTGATATCTGCTACACGTTTTCAATAGAGATACGCGTTTGCCATGCAATATATCATGTAGTGCAGATCTTATAATAATTCTAATTAACATTACAATAATGATGTGATAAGCAATTAACAAATGGCTAACGGGACGCCACACCGTCTAACATATGTAAAACAAACACCATGCCGATGTATTATTCTGGTAAACGATAGTAACCCAAAGCACTTGCTCTATTTACTTGATTAGCAATGTGATCAATACACATCCTTATCGAAGCTAGCCAGCGAACACAACAAGTTCAACAACAAATTCAAAGTGATATATGTATGCACAGATAGTGAAACGTTGTTTCTAGATTCAAGTATTTTTTATGCCATTGCATACAAACATCTCGTAAGGCTTTGTAGCCAAGCCTCTCACAGAACGGGTGCCCGGCGATGATGACTGTTAAAATGTTTTTACACTCAATTTGTAAAGGAAAAATAAAATGCTGTATCGCGTAACGTGACATCACACGTCACCTCTTTCGGCTACGCTCGACAACCAAGAGCCTATTACTACAAGTAAAGGAAAAAAATTCTTGCATCGTATGTATCTGGTAAATTGCACGCCCATCTTTCTCTTAAAATGGATGACACTCTATTACATAATATTGAAGTTTGTACAGATAGAAGTCTACGAACATCTGCCCCTTGATCTCTTCACGGTTGCGCAACCTCCAGCACAATCTGAGGCCATTGAATCCATACCGATACCGTACCCTGTTCCGAGCTTACATCTCACACCTGTCAGTAGGTCCATTCATTTGCAAGAGACTTGCTTGAAATTTTACTTGAGCACAAGAATGCTGCTTTTCATAATAATAGGAATTCGACTTGAACAGGTTAATTCTAGGCTAGTTCTTAGATCTCATTGAGATCTAGGTACATGAAAAAGCGTTCGTCTACGACGAAGAGACAAAGCAAATTCGTCGGACACTGGTGGATCGATATGCTAGGAAGGCAGGCAATTTGAGACAGACTATTGACCGCCAACTAAATATTGTATTGCCGCCTACAGCAGACTACCAATGAGTTCTACCCCCAGCTGAAAGAGAAAAACAACGGGGGTACGGTTCAATACCGTTTCGTTAACCGTTAGAGTCGACTGTCCGGCAGGACTACAGTCAGGAGCGAGGAAGGAAATACCTCCAAATTGGGGATGCTTTTTGCGCTCTTAAATTGTTTGTTTAGAACTAGAGAAGTGGACATAGAGGACATTCTTTTGGGTTTTATAGCTGTTGACCCCTCTAAATTTAGAACGAACACTCTATACATTTGCATTTAGCACCAGTATTTACATTAAACCATGCCCGTAGATTATATATTTTTAATAGATATAAAGAGAAATCATATGGCGCGATGTAGTCTTCTAGGAAATACATCATTTGCTTTCTGCCTTGTTTTACCCATAAAATTAATGTTAGACTACCTAAGGCGGAATTGCTTACACCATAGCTGTGTGACGAAGATTAGCATTGACTTTTGGATATAATTCTACGTTAGCATAAATCTCAATGTTGCTGCTCTTTCCTGGCTCAAAAATGTGTTAATTTTCTTTTAGGTAATTTTTTTGGCGATATAAGTGTCTTTGGGGCCTCCTTGATGAAACAGTTCATTTCAGCAATTCATTACATTTTCTGAACTTATTGAAATCATCTAAAGGTAGTCGTGGGTTAGTAGACAGGGTATATATGCAGCAAAGATCGGACCAGCGATTGCATCAGTTTAGACAGCATTGGAGAGACAGGCCGATCTAACTTGTGGAGACAGAGCCTGTCTACTATATGTGAACGTATAAAATTTAACAAAACGTTTGTGTAGGCTCTTATCGACGTCACCCTCAGAAAACTTCACGGATTCAAACGAAACGGGAAAATTCTCTGACTGATAGAATCGAAATATCTAACAAACAATGGACAAAGTGGGCTGCATATTACATTTAGCTGGATAGAAACCCAGTAACGTAAAGCATCTAACAAAAGACAATAACTTAACTTCAGTTATATTCTAACGTCCTAACACATCCGGATGATGAGCTTAGTCATAGAACAAACGTAATTTGGAAGAAAATAAGAAGTTGCTTATCGCCTTTAATATGAGAGCTTGCAAAAATGAATGAGGTGATAAAAGATTAGTGAGCGATTGAGTGATTGGCTCTTGCTTCAACATTAGCTGCATACAAAACTGTCGTTTTCGCTAGGTACCACCAGTCCAACATATTGCGTCTTTCAGCTTTTGGATAACTCATCGCAGTTTTAGTTTGTTCATCTCAATGCGAGTATCTTCGCGCTCACTAAAAAAAGAGTGAGTTCATCATATGAGTAGATAGACCTATCGGCGTCTCAATGCATGCCTTATTCATCGTGAGAATTTTTTTTCTATTCCGGAGAATATTCCGCTTAGCATTTAACTTGTTTGCGTTAGGATTAAGAAAAAAAGCTCTATCACTTTCGAAAGTTTCTCTCGCTAATCTCCCCGTGTAACTTTGTAACAATTCTAGCCAAGATTTCTAAATCACATTTGAAACGGACTTGATATCGTCTATGACAGCTATTATATTTTTCGGCTTGACGTCCAAAAAAAGGTCGATACGCAGGCTAAACAAAGTATAAAAATCGTTACTGTATCTAGAAACGCATGATGAATTATTAACTACCTTGTCTATACTAACACGGACCATATTCGAAAATAATATCATCTAGCAAACTCAGCACGGACTGCCAACATCAAAACGTTTTTCCACATCACTTAAATCCTCACCTAATTCCAACAAACCTATTAACAATAAAATTTACTAACACAGATACACTCTTAGTCAGTTTGCTTGTCAGTCTTCGATCAAGTGCTTTTTCTGTCTGTATTGAATTAAATAACATACACTGATAACATACTGCGGTAAAATATGCATAGACGGAACGGTACACAGTATTACAAAACAGCACAAATAGTCATTTCGGCAATATTTTTCGTACAATGATGAAGATTATTATCATTTCTATTGTGTATGCGATAGTTGTATTGACAGTCATGAAGATGGAGGGCAGACATCGGAAGTAACGGGACGACAAAGAAAGAGTCGGTCAGCGTAAATTCGCCGCCAAATAAAAGCTAATCGCCAGAGAGCAACTCATGCCGACTCAATAAGGCAACGAGTGCTATATGCTCGTCTACTAAATAATGTGTACTAGGGAAAGCTAGTCGTAAGAGGAGACCTGGGTAAACGCTGCGACCGACGACGACGTCAGCTTTAATGTCTACCTGTCCCTTCTATAAAACGAGCCGATAGTAGTTCTACAACGAATCTGCACGATGACAGAACAACACTTTGTTCTGTGTGCAAATATATATATATATATTTTTTTTTTGGCCTTTATTACGGTAACATGGTGATAATGATCATAACAGTAGTAGCATTAGAACATATTAGGAAAACTTGTAGAAGTTGTTAACGAACAGATAGTAAGCATGCAAGCCGGTCTACCGTATGGCCCATACAGTAGATGGATGCTATATTGCTAATCTATTATTATTGTTATCGCTTCTACATTTACCAAATGGGGATCTTTGATAAACAGCTCACGATGTACATACGTGCAAAATATTGAACTGGATGCAGATTTGTTAGGTCAAATTGCAAATTACTGCTTATTTACAAAAACGGTCTACTTTCGTAGCTAACAATAAGCCAACTATACATGTTTATCTATCCGTGTTTTAATAAACTTAAGGCTGATAAGGGATAGCAGCAGTGAACGCCTGAAAACTGTTCTACTGATTGTAGATAATCGCATCAGCGAGCGCCTCGTTATTTTGTGAACAACGGAAACTTGAGTTTAAAGTAAATAGTTGTTTTTGTCAGGTTGCGTGACTCACTTGAACGATGCATTTGTAACGTCATGATCAAAAAAACGTCATGATGAAAAAAAAATATAGAAGCAATTCAATATCCTAAACAGATGGAATCCAGTTATCCCAAATGCGCCACTTTGCTCTCTAAAGCCAACGTTCATTCTATGTTTTTTTTCGAACGAAGCACAGCGCGATGGTTGGTCCCACCGTAATCGGTTGTCGCGTGAAAAGTACGAAATGCCGAAAATATGCTTAATTCGATCTTGCGGAAGCAGAAATTAACGAAACGTAAACAACTTTAATTGAACAATCGCTTCCTTCATGAGTTTCTTATATGAGCACATATATCAATTATTATTCAAAGGAAGACACGGGCGTCAATATGGACTATGTTCAGGTATCGATATGATAGCGTAGCACGAATAGGCACGTTTTGGTATTTAAAAGAATTATTGATTGTTATCTCATAACGCAGATTTGCACGCCAGCGGACAAAAGGCCACTCGGAAATAATTCACCCTGTTCTCTATACGGTTGCTTTGTATGTAGGATCTTAATCTATAGAATTTGCCTTTGTCAACTTGTTAATGGTATTGCTAATTCGGTTAGTTTAGTTGCTTAAAAGCGCATGCTGCCCTCACCTGGTGCTGCTCACGGTAGCTGTCTTATAGGCGCAAACTCCACGGTGATGATGTGAAGTATACACAATTCTAGTCTGCCGTCAGAAAGCACACATTTTTTCATTTGTGCCTAGATTATATTACGGTCTTATATCTTCTCATCGGAACTCCTCAATTTCAACACTGGTCTATCTGCGAAATTCCCGTACGTCCCGGAACTTGCAGATAATTAGTGGAGAGCCAGATACAAACAAAAGAGACTCCTTCCGTTGCCGTGGATGATTTCTTCATTCGGTTGGGAACATCACATGCGACAACACGCACAGACACATTGGGAAATCAAGGTATCGGTAATACTGGATTGCAGACCCGCTTGTCGTTCTCGTCGCGTTGCACCCACGTAGTTGGTGATACTTCGTTAATTCATTGAGTCTGTCCTGTTCCTTACCTGTCTCTCCCTCTTTTTTCTTGAAGCGGAGTAGCACGAGTGAAGGCAACGGGCAAACTCATTCACTCGTCACGAAGAACATAGCCGGCGATTCGAACGACAATCGAACTGTGCTAGAAGTCTCCGTTCCCTTTTTTTCTATTTCTCCTATTTTTTTTCTTCTGTGTTAATTGTTGCTCATAGATCAGCTCCGAGACACGGAGAAACACTCGCGCAAATTTGCCCTTTGCGGTATCGAGTCCACTACCGCTACTGCTTCGACGGATTTACAGCTGCCTTCTGATAGCACTATCCTATGGCCGAACTGCGTGTCGTTACACGCACTTTGTACTCGCCTCAAGCCACGCTCTCCCGTAGCAATCAGCAGTCTGCGGCTGTTAGGGAACGGACAGACAGACAAGCAGGTAGTTAGGGAGTCTTTTTCCCGTTGCTGCTGCTCCTGCTGCTGCCTGTTGTTCGTCGTTGCTTCGCTGTTGTTTCTTGCGGTGACAGGCCGTTTGGCCACCGACAGCAGCTGATGCGATGCGATAGTGGTGGTGGGCAGTGGTGGCGACAGAGGGCAGTAAGCACAACAAGCAGAACACCACCATCTACAGCTGGTGTTACCTGCAGCTCAAAAAGCACCACCAGCAGATTGACGACTACAGTGGTCGATGGAGCACCAGCAGGAGCGGTGGCAAAACAGCGGAGTGCAGAAGCGCAGACGGAACCTACATGCCTCGTAACACGTATCAGCCGCCATAGGTTATTATTACGTCTCGTCTGTTCTTCCGCTGCCACCACTTACAGCCGCAGCAGCAGCGGCAAAGACTGAAAAGGGGCTGCTCGATGATGGCAGACACCATCACCACTAACAGAGCCATAAGTAGCAGAAGCGGCGGCGGCACGTCACCAGAAACGTGGATAGCGCCATCTGACGGAAACGGCGAGAGCTGGCACTGATATGTTTAGCTGAGACCACCGTCGTCAACGACAGCACCATTTAACAACACGTTCCCTTGTGTTTCCTGGGCTGCACGGGGAAAGCTCAGGGGAGTTTTTCTCATAAAAGTGCTCTGTTGCGATTGAAGAGCCCAGAAAAATGGCTGGAAAAATGCGAGACGATAGATGTCGATACGATTTTTTCTTTCTTTTCTCTATAAAAATGAACTTAGAAAAGGCAATACAAAACTTCAAGAGTCTATCGACCAATAATCAAACTACCCCTAAATGTTCCTGCTGGTATAAGACATCAACAAGCGTCTTACTATTACCATAAACCAACCTCGCAACGCCGGTAATTGTGCCAACAGTTCACAGAGAGCGAATTAATTTTGCCGTTAGTAAACAGTCGAAATTTATAAGCTTTCTGATTACTTAGTTTTTCAGTCATACTAGTAACGTATCGTTTATAATCATAATAATAGTGTAGTTTATGCGGCTTCGAGTGACAAACCGCAACAGAATAACAACTATACTGTAACTGTGATATTATGAGAGCGCAATGTAGAAGCGTCTATTTTCGAAGAGCATCGAATCCGCGCAACAATTGTACTCAGTCAGAGAACGAGTGCCTCACTCTGTAAAAAGGCTCTCTCCTTTTTTGTTCCCTTGCCTGAGTTCGCAGCCAAAGACGCTGTATTAACGCATTGCACACCCTTTACAAACTGATGCGATTAGTCTCAAGAGACTCTCAGTTAGTCACCTGTGTCCGAAGAGCACCTGTAAATTGAGGAAAGTTTCCTCCTAATGAAGCGACGTCGAACGAGGAAGACTCTTAATCGACGGAGCCCCGACTAAACGCTCGGAAGTGAAACACGCAGATACAGGAGGCGTGTCTAGGTTTTGGCGTGGCGCAAAACAAAAGTGTCTTTCGTGGCTTCATTGTAGCAAAGTATTTACTGAAGGGCTATGTTTCTTTATGGTAAATGTAACGGATAATTGTCACGCAAGATTGGATGAACTAATGATCTGTAGAAGTTTCAATGATGAGATTTGTTTAATCTGTGTAAACATACATCTGTGGGCATCGATAACGCAAATAAGCCAGTTTGTATTATACCCTACTGACCCAATGACGGCAAACTACGGAAAGTATGAGTAATTTTTTTATGAGTACGCTTTTTTGGTGTCTACCGTAGCTTAAATCTGTAACGAAATCGTGATTATGAATCAATGTGCATGAAATTGCAGCAAGTCAAGTGAAACCTACGTCTGCAAATCGCGCAAAACCTATTGTAGGGCGATAGCACAAATTTACTTTTGTCAAATTCATTAGCGATCTTCAGTCGCTAATATTTTATTACTCTCGCTTTATAGTTTATAATATCCACGGATGCTTAGGTAAGCAATTAACTTTGTTTTCTAATAGGAGTCGCTGTTGAACCGTCTACCCAAGTTTATCCATATAAAGTAAAACTTGGTTTTTAACGTAACTTTAGCAAACTAAATAATTATTACGAATACTCAAAATTTGATGACGACCTGTGAAGTACTGTGAGGTTCTTTACTGTGAGGTCTTCCGAAATGACACGTATCCCAAAAGTCATGGGTCAGACTTACCTTGAGATCAAACTGCCACGTGGAGCTGGACTAGATGTATGTTGCATTTAAAGCCTGTTCGATCCGTATATTACCTATCTGTCTGAATACAAAATAACTTCGACTAATTTTCATGGCTGTCTTATTTTTCAAAGAGATCCTTCAGCGAGTTGCAAAATTAGAGTAGGTTTAAGCAGTCCTCCGAAGCTAGGCCAGTTGTCTGTGTGATAGGCGGAAATTTGGCTTTAGAAGTAGTCGATAGTTATCCTGTTCTCCTATAGGATTACAAAAAGAAGGTTTATTAAAAAGAAGATTTAAAAATATGAAATTTGAGCTGACACAAAGAGTAAGCAATCATATTAGGGTCTATACGTATGGTAATTTGTCTGCCTGCTGGAAGAGAACACGAGGCGATGTCGGTCCAATTCCAGCTGCTAACACAATTCGTCTTTCTGGGACTAACGAAACTTCTAAAACAGACTGCGTATTTAGATGATTCATTAATTCATTGTAACTATTCTTGGAAATTCAATGACAAACTAGAGGATGTATTTTATTGATAAAAAAGCATAGAAGCTGATAAGCTATACCAAGATCTAACATGAAGATTCAAAATGTATTGATTTTCTTTAAATATACAACAAACTTTATTTGTACCATGGCACATTAGTTGCAGACCTGTATCCAAATATTTTACAGCAAAATAACACGTGCTACGCAAACTATCAGAATCAACGTTCTAATGCATTCATTCTACTAAGCGTTTGTTTATTTGCAGTTTGTGTTGCATGCAACGAGCACCTTCTTCGTTCCATAAAGAAGATAAACGGTAAACTATTACCAGAATTATCAAAATTATCACAAATATAATCTTAAACCACAATAAAATACTCTTTTTTTTTACGTGCAGCTGTAACTAAAAAACTGTCACATCTGCTTCCGTACCACCTACGTACGTCTCAATCATCCGGGGTGTAGTTGCCTTTTTCAAATTGATCATATCCAGGTTCAATGTGCGTGCACCATCATTTGTCCGCTGCTTTAAAACACTTCTTCAACCTAGCCGTATGAATAAACTCAGCCTTTGCATTCGTTCCTTCCTGGACTCTCCCGAAGGCCTTAAATAAGCCTTGGACTACTCTTTCCTTAAAGCTTTTTTTAGGTGATTCATACTATTATTGTTTACATGTAAACAGCACAAAAATTCTACATATTTTTATATGAAGCATTTTCTAATCCAAAATCTCTACTGTTAAACGGCTCGGACTAGGAATTCACTCATCCGGGAGAACGATTTGTGAAATAAGGTAGGCGTCAAGTCTCATAAGCTAGCTAGAACTGGACGCATGTGTGTTTTCGGAACGCCTATCGCGCCTGCTAAGAGTAGAATAATCGCCTTATCGCTTTTCAGCTTGTGGTAGTGGTTGAACCATGTCTCGGTTATGGCGATCATATACTTTTAAGTAGACTTTTTGTTCCGTAAATTGCGCATGAAGCACACCATATACGTTTCCAACTGACCTGGAGTCGAATGTCAGCTGATAGCATCTTTACTCAGTTTCCGTATTTTCAATACAATTTTGTAACATACTACACCTGAAATGCCAGTTTTTGCTCTAAGTCCTGTTTTCCTAAAAAGCCTCTTTAATTACGGCAATGCGTTTCTGTCCATCAGGAACTAGTATTTGGTCACCTCCTCGCTAGTCTTTCATGATTCAACTTCAGTTAGTGTGCCATTCTTTGCTTAGGGCCTTTTTGCCTAACGTCATCACTAATATTTTATGAATTTCCAGCGTGAATATGGCGGCCTTCGAGTGGCTAAAACTTGATCACTTAGTATTGATTTTCGAGAATAAAGGATGTTTTTTTTTATGAACTCCTTTATAATGGAGCGAATTCAACCGATTTTCACTCACCTGTTTCCAAATGACTGCAGTAACTACTAGCCAAATTTTACATGTTAACGGTGCATGATTTAAAAATTATTCAACTTCAAAAATCACAGGATTCGCTTGTAACAGCCTAACAAAGACAGATAACCAGCCCGTTTTTCTACCACAGTTCCTATCCCAGAGCTAAATTTCTGAAGACAAGTTTCACAAAATTTACCATATATAGAGTTATCTTACATAATTACTACGGGATGTGTATGGGCTATTGGAATTCGAGCATATATGAAGACATATGTTGTAGATGCTAATTTTCCAGAAAAATTGGACTAAATAGCTTTACAGCGAAACTTAAGCTCGGGTATTGTATTTTCGCGCTTGTTGCACCGCATGTCGATGTTGCGGTTATTTTTAAAGAAATCTTCTACGATTGTATGGTCATAACGCATCGTTCATACAAAACAATATGACCGACACCCGCACCATATTGTGGATAATCATGATCATAAATCAGGATTCATCATGGATAATTATTCATATTAAAATCATGCATATCCATGAAAATTATACAGATTTTAATGCACTGAAGTTGGCTTCGGAGAACGGAGTGCACATTGTTACTGTTCCTTCCGACTTCTTAAACAAAACACAATGCGTTAATGTGCCAATAGTTATGCATTCAAAATCCAGCTTCACCGGCGCAGCCGCACCATATATGGCCCTACAGTGAATGAATGACTGGCGAGGTTGGAGTAAATGATTATAAAGTTTCATTTTTTCTAGTTATAATCACAGCCCTTTATGAGGAGAAAAACATTTCTCTTTGATTTTGTTGACTGAGTGACTTCTTCGCACGGAATCATGAATAACCCATCTAGTTCCACCTCAGGTCCGTATAACTTTACCTTACGGAACTATATGGGTTAACGACATGAATGTTTTCAATGCATATTTCTCAAAAATAAACAAATTGTAGTGAGATAATTAGGCTACATAGTAGAAGAGTTTTTGGCGAATATAGTTTTTTCCTCTCTCGTGCCTCTGATTGTTTTCAACTATTGCATTATACACATTTTAGCCCATATAGTTCCACCCTCCTCTCTATCTAAGGAATTCGTTAATAAAAATAATAGCTCGGCATCCCTGATGCCACAGAGACGACAAAGAGACATATACAATGTTCCACTTTCTTGCAATGTTAGGTGCATCTGCATTATGAAGAGATTATTACCACGGTTGAAGAACGTATTAAGCGTAGGTAACAGAGGGAGCCATAGCTAGGATTTTAAGATAATGAAGAGCTTCTTTGGTAACACAGCCTAATGACGTAATAACATTATTATGTGCAATGCTATTTAAATTTTTTTGTGTTTGGTCATGTTCATCGAATAATAAGCCTCCGTTCGCTTCTTCATTTCTCGTTTACACGCTATACACAACTTTGTAATTGTTGTTGTGCCTTTGTAAAGGACTTTGTAAACCTTTGTAAAGTTTCAACTCTATATATGCTCCGATCATGTGAAAGCAGCGGAATTAACCGTTCTCAACAATAGTTAACAGTTCCCCCTTTCTTCTCTGCACTCCTTACTTCGTAAAAAGGAGTCCTAAGCAAAAGTCTCACATAAAAAAAACTGTTAACGGTGCTTCATAAATGCGACTAAATATATATACAGAAATATATATAGTTCGACTACTCTGGAAACTTTGTTAACGTACGTTGACTTGTACAACTGCCACCTATTCTCAAGTTTTTGTAAACGTATTTCTTGCCAAGCTTAATTAAATTATAGATATTCGATTATTTTGCAACGCTTAGCATTAGTAAGAATAATTGTTGTGCAGAATCATTAAAGCGTCTATTGCTCAATAGATAATAATGAATTTAAAGCAGAAAGCTAGTTCTCTGTCGCTGAAAGGTTATCGCAGATTTTTTTTTTTATTTACATTTTTCAATTATATCAAATGCTCGGGTGTTTTAGTTGTTGGGGCGTACATTCCTAGCGGTTCTTATCAAAGCAAGAATCTGACAAAGAAGAGCTTATCCTCAACTGTTGGGCTGTTCTAATCTAAATTGTCTAAGACAAAATACAACATAAAACGTTTGCTTCAGCGTATTTCGTTTGTAATTTTATTATTTGTTTATTAACACATTTATTAACTGTGCGGAAAATAAATCAAGCGCGTGGCCGGCTCTTTCCCATGTCTGGCGTCGTTACATGAGGAACGTGATCGACGTGGTTCACTTTTCTGTTGGCTTAATCTGTTGATTGGGTGCATGATTGAAGGTTAGTGCAATGATCGATAGCAGCCAAATTAGTCCCCATCTAGAGGTATTCTCATGACGTTTGTCGGCGTTTCCTGTGGTTTTCTGACCGCCATCAGAGCTGCCTTATTGAGCCGACTGAACACTGAAGTTTTACATATTCCACTGCCATGGGTTTACTGATACATTTTGACTCGTACTCACACTATGGTCGTGTTCGTTTGTTGCTGACAGCTCACCCAATACTTGTATGATAAATTACGCTTCCACTAATGGGTTATCTCCGCAGTCCTAGGGTGCCGCTTCTGTTTTTCTCAATTTATCGTCTTCTGTCCGCCTTTCCATTTTACTGACGTTTACTCATTCTTGGATGGTAATGTCGTGTTTTGGGTGATGTGTAATCTTTCCCTAGGTGTTTTACTTTTTTCCTACAATGTCGATTCATTGAAACAAGATATTTTCAAGCTAAACTAAATTATTTCCGCCTTACTTGGTTCCTATGAAATAAACAAGACTAACTATTCTCAGCTAATCAGCCAGCTACTGCAATGGGCAGGAGTAATACTTAGGCAACGCATTGTCATTCTTGATCGCTTCCCACCTATTTCAAAGTCAGTAGCGTTCGCTAGATTTTCCACCCCTCCTCCCCCAAACGACTATCTAGTACGCACATGCGAAAGCGCTGGCGGTAACAAACGTGATAGAACATCCCTTTACCTGAAACTTCACTGATTTATCGATAATCATTGATAGAAAATGATCAACCAGGTGCGATGTAGTCCTGACTGATCCGTTATCTTCTAGGAGTTTTGGCTTCCGTGCGATCACTGGTCTTCGTGCGAACCACCGGCAAGGAATAGACACATTCGACGATTCAACTCGACCAGAGTAAAGAGATCCTTGGCGGTTATCCGTCCCGAATCCAGCTGTAAATATATTTGAACGTTAATGTGATCGACATAACTGTAGGCAAGGATTGTACATTTTTTTATTTGTCCCTTCATCCCCTACTAACGTTATAGGCACGCCGTAGAAACTCATTGTTTGCGCTATTAGTTTTCTATGTGACCTGATTTTCATCTTACTAGTGGAGCTGCATTTTAAAGTCATGGGCCGCATGGTTCACGTAGACAGCTGGTCGCGTCTGACTACAGACACTGATCTGACACTGTAAGATTGCTTACAAATATGATAACACTATATGTGTATTCGATACATTGATTCCTTTGAATGGTCTTTCCAAATGAAACCATAGCAGCGTAGCGTCTACCTATGAAGCGGCACCTATATAGCATAAGATGTCAACTACGCAAAGACAAAATGAGATAAAGGTTCTGATATAAAGATGGCAAAAACGAATTTTAATAACTGTATGCGTTCCGTTAACGCTTTGGGTGGTTATTGCACGGCAGCCTTCGGTCCCCGTTATAGAGCTCTTATATCTTAGATAAGCTACCAAAGTGATAGCTCTCAAGGTCTATCAAGTGCCTTAGGATTAAGTGTAAAGTTACACGATAAACACCATGGTGATGTCACTTCCTACCATTATATATCCTAGACCGGGAACATTGGAATACAGTAAAGAGTAGAAGGCAAGGAAGATGATGCAAAGATTTAAGTAGTTTGGCAACAGACCATCTTTAGAGTGGAATTAGTCATAGATCATGCTTCTGTGGGTTGAGTAACGGACAGTATTTAACGTACAAATATCGCTATAAATCCCTTCAGCTTTTTCAAACATGAAATTAGACCGGGGCTTGTAACAAATAATTGCAATTTACGGTCTATTAAATACATCAGGCGTACTGGTGAAAGAGTGCCTACGGAAGGAATATATCACTGTACAGAGCTTAAGGTTACGCTCCAACGTCGACTGGTAAATAACAACGAATTGTATCAAATATAAGCGCAAATTTTATGTTGATTCATGTTTACTAATAACTGAACGTGTTGCCACAAACTATTTGACTGGAAAAATAATTATAGCATCCGCAGAGTTTACTCAGAATAATTAAATCACTAACGTACCATGTCGTCGAGTAGCGTCTTTGCAAGACTACGCATTAAGCTCAACGACAAAACTGTCCACCCTTTTCTGTTTGTCGATAAAAACGTGAACGCAGATGCATTAGAAATTGATCACAGATGCCCTAATGGAAAATAGCGTGCAAACAGTTATGGCAAAAAGGGTAATATTAGAGCATTACCTAGGTACCTCGTGCTTTATGAACGTCATATTTTTGAAACTGAATTTAGTGACCACTTCCGTAATTATGACAACTGTAGGATCTTTCAAAAGGACGCAGCACACTCTTTCGATACACATTAATCATATACTGAATGTTTCAGTTATAGGTAATGTACATTTTTCGATTTTCACATCTAGGAAGGCGATGAGCATCACATTAAATGGTTTCAAGTGTTTTTTGACATTTACCAGTGCTATTATATGACCTTTTAAATCTAGTTGATAGACTACCACGGGTGTAACAAAATAACTGCAACAGAATGCTAAACCCAAGGAGAACTCCATCGCTAAAATTTAAGATTCGTTTTAGTACGTATAAAAAAGTCCGCATATCGTGTTCTGTAGACCTATAAACCAAATGCACGGTCAACAAAACTCATAGCAAGTTGTAAATAAATATTATTGAGTATTACGTAAGAAAAACAGCAAATCTCACCTTGCCGTCGACATCAACCGGACCGATAGCCCTCTTGCCATTGGTCCAGCCCCGACTGTACTGAAAGGTCTGCGCGGTACACATAACCACTAGGGCTGCCAACACGAGTAGAATTGCAAGACCGGATTTCATTGTTGGATTCGAAGCGACTACAAGCCGGCACACTCTGTAAGGTGATCAGGAGCACACTAAATGTATGTCGACTGGATCTTGAGCTTTTATACACCCCTTTATATATATCACCCTTGGGAGAGGGTGAACCGCCCGCACTTCAAACAGAAGAACACCAACTCCAGTTTAGGCTAGACAAACTATCCGCCAGTGACGTCGCTGGGATTTTCTACTAGCGCCCCGATGTATGTAAATGAGACATAATTATTCAAAAACCGATTCACCCCCCCCCCCCCCAAAAAGCCAAAAAAACATGCCTCAAAAGTGGGTCCTAGTTTGGATCAATTTTACTATTATACACTCAGAAATAAGAAGAGGGACGTACAACAAGGTTCAGTCTTATGTTGGATGATATAAGAATCAATTCCTCGATAAGCTTGCTTAGAAAACTTTGCTATGAATGATCTCTGCGGTATTTTTCACCATTTGTTGGTATTGTTATCGTCTCAGCGGCCCTCTGAGCGGTTCTAGGGAGTCCGTGCAATGTAGTCGGTACTGGTAAGTCCGTAGCCTATGCCTTATTTGCTATCGTCTAAATCCTTCGCTAAACAGAAGGACTTCTTTTGACCGAATGGGTAGCACTGGGTGGAAAGTAACAGCTGTGTCTGTAGCCTCTCCGCTTACGTTGGCTGAAGACTTTGCGGCTCTTGGTGCTAACTTTTGTTTTTAGCGAATTAATATTAACATAGAAACGAGCAACGACTCCCATGAGAAGGACGTGTGTCGAAACATGCTCTGCGCACGGGATAGAGATAACAAAAGTGAGCGCGAGATATTGGATGTTGTCACATGCCACCAAAGAAAGAACCGGTCGGCCAATTGTCAGATCTCTTTTTCACAAGTTTTCTATTTATAGTGAAGTCTCTGATGGAGTTTGTGAACGGCGAAGCGACATCTCTGCGCTAGGATTATGGGTGGCCTATGGGCAGGTTCGGATGGAGGGAGACCGTAAAAAACACCATGCATATATTTACGCTAATACGCTGCCAGACAACATCGAATAATAGGGAATCATGATACGTAATTAGCAAATATGAAATGGCGCTAATGCGTCACACTACGACGTACCAGGCCTAGCTGCAACTTGATATTTTTTCTTCATTAATCGAGTTCCTAAAATTGGCGCCACGGATAATAATACGCCGTAAGCGGAAATAATGTCTCCTAATGGCTTTAGCTTTCGTAGGGTGAAACATGCTTTGCGTTCGTATATTGTAATTATAAATAGTTTCGCCGAACTTACCTCAATGTTTCACTTATCTATGCTATTCGTCGTGGCATATTACTAAGGTGACGCAGAGTTTGTCATGACGATAGGACACTCGTGTTCTGTTAGTTAACTAGTTGCCGGTATTTTGATCTGCTTCAGAACTTATACTCAGGCCAACATTGTATATATGCACATCTATGCCAAATAATATGGCGACAATTGCACATATGAGACTCTTACAACGAATTTAATATCTCTTAAACTAGTTCTTTGTTAATTGTCTTAAAGGTACTCACAAACTTGTCCTAGTATTCTGGTAACTTTTGGACAGCCATCTAACTACCATTCGCATTCCCATATGTAATATCTCTATCTAGAGCTTCTCGAAGCATATCTATAATAGGATATGCTTGTCCACTGTTGCCCTCTTTAGGGCCCCATGATCTCATAGACCTAGATATCGCAGGTTTAAGCTGCCGTAGATACATCTCACCTACTCAACACTATTACTGAACATATACTAATGTCTTGGGTGTATAGAATATGACCTATTATTGACCACCAAAAACTGTTCTATTCATATATTCCTTTCACCGCATTTTCTTGTTCCTGGAGAGCGGGTTTGGCCACTCAGGCAATTTCCACAATTTGCTTTGAACAGTGGGCATTTATTAAAAGACGATTACCATTTTCAGTGCGCTAGGACTATTACATCACTTTTAAAATGGAGGGAAACTACACATTTCATTATGGACACTGCCGTTAATCTTTCATGAGTGACGACCCATCGTTTGCTTACTAACTACTAGTTTTCGCTTTTATTCTTTCAAAGTTTTACTGAGATCTTCTCTTGACTACTAACATACTTTTCATATGAGAACATATACGCAATAATGATATTAAAGGATATGGTCGAAAATACTGAGCCTCTTTTATTATGTAAAAAAAGAATCGATACAACGGCCTCCCAAATTTGCCACTATTCCGATTTGAAAGCTGATGATAAATATGTTAGTCAGCAAGTCGATAATCATTCGTCGTATTGAGAACATTTAACCAGGTGGCATCTTTTATGCCAGCCTAAAATTCAGTCGACACAAATGGATCGGCCAACATTTCGTAAAGGTTGTACTTATTACTGAGCGATAGTAATTTTTTATGGTCCTCTCTGCTCAATCGCAGATTGAGTAAACTGGCAACAGTGATAAATCGTGCTAAAAGCATTATTTTATCTCTTTTTAAGCCTTTTGGTTATTTCTACTGTGTGAAAGAATCACCGTTTCAGTATAACATTAAAGCCTTAACCCCACTACAAAATCTAGGTCAGGTGGGTCTTGTTGGATTTACTTGGGGTATATGCTCGAATAGGCCTATGAAACGGTATGATAACCGTTTACTGACACTGAAAATTAAATTACTGATGGCCGCATGTCCAGGGCTATCACGGCAACGCATTGAAAGAGACGTGCGTTAGCCACATAGGGGTTGTGCCGTTCACGACTAAGATCGTTAAGGTTCTCTATAGCCAACCACTGTTCTACAGTTCAACAGAACTGGTTCAAAACATCTACAAACTAGACAGGCCACTCTTCCTAGTGGCTGTACCTGTTTTTCCGTTTGGCGTAATAGGCGAAAGCTTATACTTGGTTGATTCAAAGAGACCTAAGGACGGCTATGGGCAAGTTGGAAAACCGGGTTATGAGAACTCGCTTGAGTTGGCCCACTCGTTTGGTGATACTGCCCGAAGGTTGGAAACATAGAAAAAATATAAATGACTTATAATAATTATTATTACTACTATTATCGGACGCAATTAACCAAAGTTGTGACCTAGTGGACAGAAGTGGAGCATTTCTTTGTCAAATGCAAATGCTGCACTTCTGTTACTCTATATAAGTACGTACCAGGGTGCCTTAAGACTCGGCCATACTGTTGCTTGACACATAATTATTTTCATCGTAGCAAATCTGAAAATCATAGGTTTAAATTTAAGGTATCTAATCGTGGTCGTAAATAAAACGCACACATCGAATCTTCAACACTACATAATTACATTAGATAATTATTCTAAAAAAGCTATGGCTCAAATAAGCAGTAGAGATTTGCACTCAAGTTCCTATAGCCCATTGAAACCGCTGTATATATTCTCTCTTGCCTAAGCGGTAATTCTTTCATCGTTCCGCGTTTACTATTAAGGCAAAATTTATATAACACGCGTCATTCATATCTCTTTATTACTTTTTTTTTTTTTTTTTTTCGAGTTACAAAGCGAACCACCCGTCTAGTCAATGAATTCTAATCGTGAGCCCTGAAAGCAGCCTTTTGTTTGTAAAAGGTTACAGGGTCAGTGTAGCATTATTTCAGCCTACTGCGCATTGATTGTTATTGCAGCAAAAAAGTTTTTGTTAGTTCCTTAGCTTTGATTACGTGTCAATAACTATTTAGGGTAAACATCATTGTCTAGTTAAACGGGTTCAGGTCTGTTCCGTTTGTGCCTTCCTAGATAAGATCCGACTTTCGCTTTATTCCAGCTTCAACAAGTAGAACTTTGCCCAATAAAATACAACCTGTATATTGTTACCTGTACATTTGACGAATACATTTTAACAGAAAATCTTTTAGTTTTTCCCCTTTCAATACGGCCACTGTACTGATTATGTCACATACGCACGAATTTTTCACGCAGGCGCGGGACCCTCTTTCCATATTAATGTCTTACAAGCTCGCTTTTATTTTTTTTCGTTTTTGAAAATCCGCACGTTTTTGTTTATGCCTATCCCCATCAGACCTATCTGATCTCAAAGCGCATATTGCGTTAAAGCCATTGGCTAACCTCTAGCGTTTATGAGAATGACATACATTCTGAGCTCAATATGCACACAAGGAAATATAAACACAAAGAACAAGGTTAGATAAGCATTCAATATTACCATGGGGTATACAAATTAGGCAAATTTGAACGTAGCGTTTGTAGAATGATAATAAAAATGATAACGAAATATTAAAAATAAATTATTCTACAAATGGACTTTTTATCTAAAGGAAATAAATCGATAACTCACACAATATCCATGTCAATCGAGCACACGTATAGCGACAAATGGTGAAACTTAGTACATATTCGTAGCTTTTTAAATTGTCTTACTGTGTCCGGTGTTCACTCGCATTCGGATGTTTCCAAATTGGGCACCAATGATGGACATAATGGCCCCAGGCATTACTGACGGCTCTCCCGATGAATGAACCGATAACTTCCCGCGTTAATTTGTACCTGCGAATAGTTAAGAATCGTTTCATGCGACAACGTACTCATTGGCGGCTCTTGGTACCTTCACTTAGGTTGGATATAATACTTCTTTCTTCCGAACGTGCTTCCACAGCTCATCGTATGACTTCACGTAGATTATGTTTACGGCGACTTCGCTTGCTTCCGTCAAAGAAATAACAATTACTAGTAAACTGAACCCATATCTATGCACTTACGTTCAGAAAACATCAGTTGCAGTAGCGACAATACCAGTCTTGTAGAAAACTGCCAAACGTGAGTCAGTAGCGCGGAGAAAGCTAGATAACCGCCATTGGACAACCTGTGCAGAGCTCGAATGGTGCTACCAGCTGAGATAATAACATCCGCACTGAGGAATCGTTTTTCGAGAACTGCAACGATCTCGGTGAGTCTTAGTTGGAAGAGAGATGTAAAGTATCGAGTACATAATCAGCGCGTCTCACAGCTAAACTCCGAGTGCGAGGAAGAGTTTGGGAGAATAACATAGAAAATGCATACGGACGTAGCAGTAACAATGATGGGAGCGTCTATTCTATTTTATATGCGTCACTGTCGACGTGAGGATCTGTGAAAACTCTTAAGTATTATAAAGAGCTTCGATAAGAGCTTGTTAAAAAAACGTTACGTGAATGGGTGCATCAAGATAGATACCATCATCGGACAGTGCTGATTTCACCGTGCTCATTTTCTCAATGATGATATTTCCTTCGTGCAAGAAACAAAATGGCCAGTTAATATGTCTGTAATAGACGATGCTGAAATTTCTCGTTGACCACCATGCCACGTCTTGGTGATTTAGCACCTAGCGTTTTCTTATTCCGTATTGCTATTAAAAACACCATCGCTGTTCTCGTTACTGACAACCATTGGCACTCATTGCGCTTAGGGACCTTAGTATTGTATATGGTTCACCCATAGTCTTTAGGTTACAGTTTAGATTTCTGAAACAATATTAAGCGGAGAGAGGTGGGCAAGAAGAACCGGCAATGACAAGCAACCGTTACAGACGATCAGTGCATGTTATGCTATACAATCATTCATTCGTGAGTATATTTGCATCATCCGCGCAGAGATCTGCACGGAGACAGATACAGGGTTTTGCACGCAGAAGCAGCTGAATTAACGTGTATATGCATGTGTACGTATACGTCCTGTGAGTAAATATACAAATATTTGTGGAGGTTCAGGTGGTGAAGTATACACGAATACTTTTACGTACGTCTGTAATATTATTGTATGGCACAGCATATTTGTTCGTTTCTCTTCCGATATATATATCGGAAGAGAGTGGTATAACCGGTCATTCCTTAGGCAAGTAAGTTTAATTCTTAAATACAACGCTATTGAAGCGTATTGCATACACAGACTTATTATCGACTTCAATATAATGAGCTAGGTACGAATGCAATGAGGTTTGTTCAAGCACAGCTTGAATACGATGCAACTTAGCCAGGGATTCAAATATATTATTACTCGAAGATAATATCACCGAAGCCGATTTCTACCCGTACCCGTGTGGCTTATCCGTTGACATATTTGTTGCTAAGGGCCACAGAAATATGCAGTAGCTAAAGCTCAAGGGGCAGAAAAAACGGGTCTTTTTGTGCATACATCACTCACTTCTTTTGTCATATGCATAATAGGCCACCCAGCACCTTTATAATATAACACTTAGCGCCGTTTTCTCTTACAAAGGGCGACACGAGCGTTCTATTAATTCTTCGGAGTTTCTACTGCTACCCGAAGATTTTGATGTACATACAGACCGATGTTGTAGGCCTTTACTACGTCATTCCAAATGAGAAACTCTTTTGGCGGTTTGTAATATCCTCGGCCATCGTAACTGCCTTCAACACCAAGCAGTTTCGACATAACATCTGTCGCGGCAGCTGATACTCCGTTATCGGTGTGACGCTTTCCTAGATAGTAGTCGCTTCCTGGGTAGGACAGGTGATCCCATGCCACAAGCTTGTACAGATGATACTGGGAGAAGTCGTCCAGTTGGTTATCGTGGGTTTCCTGAAATATGGCCGGCATCGACAGCTGAGGTTTCAAATGGGTCAAATAGGGTCGAACTCTGTATGAAATATGACCCAGAATGGAGGTCGTCGACTTGCCTTTGTAAGGCACGAACACGACATAGTCAATGTTAATCCAGCGCTTATGATTATTCGACAGAATATTGAATAGGGTCTTTTCAAGGTAACCGGGAAAAACTTCGATGAAGTCACCGGCGAAGAGGCCGCACCCGATACCAGGCAGTGTTACCAGAGCCTTGTTTCTTTCAGTGGCAGTGTCGTTGATATAATCGAAGACGGGCATCAACCGTCGGCACATCAATGTGGCGTATTTATCAAAGCTAAGCCCTTTATCTTCATCAAGAACTTCTTTGAGATCAGGCGAATTCGGATTCGATAGTAAAGCGCCGGGAACGAAAAGCAGATGCGCCGGAAACGGTTCGTCGTACGGTATAAACTGTGGATCATAAGTGCTCCACACACCGTTATCAAACACTGTCACCTCAACGGCAACACATATATCCCCCAAAATGGATACTTCTTCTGGAGTCCAGTCGCTACCATCACAGCGAAGTTTGGACTCAGCGAATATGCACGGAACTTTCGTTTTCAGAAGAAATCCGATGAACTGCTCCGTGGTGAGATCAGCCAGTGACACGCCTTCAAGCTGTCTTGAGAGGTACGCTCCAGGCTGCTGAGGCCCAGCTTCAAGAAGTTGTTTATAAGCGACCACTTTACCCAAGGTTTCAGACGAAAGGAGAAGCTCATAATTGGGCTTGGTCAATTCGCACATAATGGCTGACTGTAGTTGAGGTATTATTCTGCTCGATCGTAGTGGAAATCACCTAGAAAGAGATTGCACAGAGCTCCGACTAAATGTTGATGTTACCCTAATAGCGCTGAACGGTCAAGAATCTGTGCTTCCCATTCTAATATTAAAGTGAGATGATTTACGTTCAATTTACCCGTGTGTTTGTTCAGACACGTTTATCTCTGAAAGGCGATACTGGATATATACTGGATTAAGCCGTCTAGACAAAAATGCCCCGGTATGGTATTTATTTTGCCCGACACGCATGAAGCAAGTTTTGTTAAAAGTAAATTGTGTCAGTCGTTATAAAAATCGCTATAATACAGCGGGCGCAAATGAACAGCCGCGATATGTTAAACTGCCCAACAAGATCGCAACGACATAATCATTGGTGCAAGGGTTCGGCGGCAGAACAAAAGACTGATGGGTTCACAAGAGCAAACCTGTCATTGAAACGCTGACCTGAAGCATAAACAACTTATCTAACTTAACTTAGGCGCGGCGAGACCGCCTTTATCCAGCTGATTAACGTAACACGAATGAGCTAAAGCATAGCACGAGCAGAATTAAAGCCAGTTTGCAGCAACAGCAAACACGTCTTTCGAAGTTAGAGTCGTTTGAAGTTAACAGGCACAGTGATGTATCGCTCTTCGCTTCATTCGGGACGAAAACGTCATTGTCTCGAATGAAGGTGTTACAAGTAAATGCACGTTAGTGGGTAACATAAAAAAATCCTTATGCGGGTTTTTAGCCAAATTAGACAAAATAGATAAGTCAGACCTCTTCTATGAACCAACGGGTTTATGCGTTTGAAATTCTCTTACCGCTGCATATATACTTAAATACCAATTATATATTATATAGATAAACGAACAATGTTTACGGTTCGAACGCTACAATGCGTTGTCATTAATTAAGGAACGCCAAACAGTATATGCAGTAGTATATACATTAAGGTACCCAACTTGAGTGTTCTTAGGTATTTTTGTTTTTCACGTCTCCTGTTTCTATTTCCACTGTTATGGCATACAGTTTGCCCAGTCACTCCTGGAAATTCGACGATTATGATTCACGATTGCTGCGTGAAATGTAGTTCTAGATGCTAGGACACAGATCTTGATTAAATATTAATTGCCAGAGACCATTCTATATCATTCGGTAAATATTAATTAGTAACACGAACTGTGTCCACCCCTAACGGCCTCCAACATCAGTCTCTTACCTTAAGCTGGTAGAACTTAAGGCGCAAGCTCGTACAGACTTAATAATAAGTCGATGTCCATATGGGAAACATCCCATTAGAGTTGCGACCACAGCAATTGCCACCGAGGTCCCGACTGGCGCCGCCATAAAACAAATTATGCAAATGGACCTGCGTAAGTTCTGTCTGTAAGTTGGTGCCGGCGAATATTAACAACGTCGATAACAGCGGCACTGACCCTACTACAATATAGCTCACAGACTAATAACAGCAGACTACAATGCAAACCTTTGATAGACTGATGATTGCTGATGGCAGTCCGTTGGTACCGTCCCCCACAGAGGTAGACAGCCTGCGTAGCACTAAACAGAACGAGACGACTCCCAAGGATACCAAACACAATGAGAGAGAGAAAAAAAATTTACCACTTTACCAATGGCGAGCGAGCTAAACTGGTCAGAGTGGCACAGCTTGTTTCTGTGATGGCGCACTGGTAACCTAGGGAGAAGTGAAGCGTTACAAGTTTAAAATGGGACTCAGATACACTTCAATGATCTCTGCGATCTTTGATCAAATATTTCTTAATTTTCGTTAATGCTTCTGATCAAGCGAAAATCGGGGATAAACTCGTAACTGATTGTAAACGGAGAATTAGGAACAAGCTTCGACAAGATGGAAGTAGAAAACCTTTGAAACTCTGCTTGCTAGCTATAAAAGGTACTGCTTGATAGGTATAGGAATAACAGAACATTTGTTTGGGATGGCTTAGTCTTATTTTCTGCTACTGAGACTGTTACTGTCATCGATACTTCGGTTACCGTATTGATCACGTTCGTCCGTCCGCTCTGCCGATGAGTAGCTATCGTCGGAGCTCGGCAAAGCTAACGTTGATCCAGATGTTGACCGCGTGGCGGTGGCGAGTTATTCGTTGTCAAGGAAACGCTGGTAGGACTTTGAGCAAGGACAGCCTCTCTCAACGCCATTCAAGACAGGGTTTTACACGGCACGACGTCCAGCGAAGTGCGGCGGCACAGAAGGCGTGCTGCTGTTCCTGCAACAAGTCTGCATCTAGTGCTTTAGAAAATCTAGGAAATTGCTGTTTGTCCGAGTCAAGATACCGAAATACTGAAAAAAAATGTAAAAATAGCGTTTCAGGGTAATCCCATGCCACGAAACAGCCTTGTTGAGTATTCGTGGCTCTAGAGTTCGTTTTTGATAACACATAGCTTAGCAAATTCTGTTTTAGCTATTTTTTAGTTGACACAGTGAGGTCTACCAAAGGTAATACGTATTATCCTCAAATGTTTGGGATATTTCGCTGTGTATTTATGTCGGAGTTGGGGGCGAGTATATTCGTAATGCTGTAACTTTCCGGGAAGGTATTTACTTAGACAAAGGCCCCAGAAGGACGACAATAGCCCGTGAATATATAGCTAAGCCTTTTATAGTCACTCACAGGAATTTTTGTTCTGTATTTTGTAAAATAAATATTATCTGATTAGTGGACAACCTATGTTCAACTGTAAAGTTTCACTGCATTGGACGTATAAGCTCCAATAAAAAATTAGATTTTTTAAAAAGTGCGTCCACTGGAGTGTGCTCCGTGAAGACTTGACTCTGAAAGGTCTAAAGAAAATACTAAATTAATATAATATAGTTAGATTACTAGGTATAGTAGAGGTAATCTTTTAACAAAATAGAAAAATAATAAGGAAGCTATTATGAACGCTTCAAATGAAAGATGTTGAAGGGTATCCAAATTTTAAACGAATGATTCCAAATTAAGGGACCATGTTAGACGTTCAAATATCGGTTGGTATTGCTGCAGTGGCTATGCTGCATTGTGAGCCGCTCTAATGCCGTTGGTAGTTGCGTTCTTCGCCCACGTTAAAAGTTCGAATTGACTGATGCAAATCGAGGTCAACTCAAGTAGATCGAAAGTAGGAACATAAAAATGGATTTTGTGAGGTAAAGTGCGGCTATATGGGACAGGAGCCATATGGGCTATACTTTTTTTTAGGTGAATACATTTGAGAATAATTACAAGCGGAGTAATATCGAAAAATACTAAATGAAGTTTCAAATCATGGGAACCGGCTCTGCAACTGTGGCCAAACGATAGATATATGAGCTAACACTAACACTATGTAACATCTCTATACCGCACTCTTTGTCGAGTATTTAAAAACATCACGCACTAATTATAGCAATAATTGTCATATAGAATAGCATATGAAGTAACTAGTAAGTTGTCCAAAAAAATAGAAAAATTAATTGAGTCGTCATTATTGTTACTCCAAGGCCGCAAGAGAGCTGAAAAGGTTCATAGGCATATGCTGAATAGATGTGCGTTGAGTTACAAATAGTAGACAAAAAAAAACTTTCACTTGTATCTAACAAAGACCAGAAATCAGAAGTCCAGGTCACATATTATAATGACTGTTGCGCGCATTGAAAGAATCTGTTAGTGTTCTTCGTCAATGTAAATGTAAATCAGACAAGAAAGTTTTAAGCAAGAACACGCTAGCGTTAAAGGGGTTCCACCCAAACGGGGATTATTAACTGATGTTATATGTTTACTGTCGAAAGCAAATCCTGCCGATCAGGACTACAGCAAGGCCACAGTCGTAGTCTACATAACAGACGGCTGAAATGTTCTCCACAAAGCATTTTGGTTGGTCATGCGTAGATTAATATAAAGCGAGACAATGAAACATGGTTATTACTATTTTGTGTTGATAGGGTTGTCAAATAGCGCCCCGTACGTAATTGAAGAAGATGCTCCCTAGTGTAATTATTTCAAAACGTGATTATAATGATATAACGACTTCATGAATTCAAATAATTAGCTGGGGATCGAACCCGATACCCTACGGTCGTGCAACCCACGTTCCATTAACGCCACCATAGTGATAATAAATGATGGTGAATATTAACTACGATTTCAGGTGAGTCACAGGTTCAGAAATTAACGTGATTGTTACTTAATGACGTTTATCTTCAATTTTCGGCTATGGAGACCGGTGCTCATCAAAGAAGCACAGATCAGGCAGGCTACGAAAGTGTCAGATGATGATCCCTCAGTAACAGGGCAGACTTTATTAGGCGTTTTCCGATAGAGTCAACATAGAATGTCGAAAAAACTGTTTGTATAACATGATGTTCTCTAAAAAGCAGGTGTCATAAATTTCTATTTGTATCGAAGCACTTGTTTTCATTACTTATATTATTGTTATTACTTAAGTTAAAACATCCGTCAAATATAGCTAGAGTAAACATTTTTTTATGGCTTTTATATAAAAACAAGCATCAATAATTACAAAATTCGGATGTTGTATCCTTCCGTGGCTATTTGCTTTTCTTATTACTGCTAAACGCTGGGAGTGTGACTAAAATTATTGTTTTGACTAAAATGTCGGAACGAAAATTTTACTTTTTTTTTTTTTATTTTCAGTCGTACACTACATAATCTATAAATAAAATCGATGTACAAGCTTCTCTTATATAAATTGAATTACATTTTGGCATGTCATCCGCTATGTTGTATCGCGTGTCGAAGCGATCTTAGTTACGACAAGGGAAACGGTAATGGGCATGACTCTCAATTATCACCTGCTGAATATTAGGATAGATTCGATGAGCTGATCGAAGTACGTGCTGTGCCCGCTTCGGCGTTGACCCGCAAGCATTGGGTCGCGGCGTATCTTGGTTACAGTATTGTCACTCACACGTTTGCCCAACATTGCCAATGTTAACTCCAGTTGTGACTGATTAACTCAGCCTTTAGTAATTTTCAGAGGAAGCTTAAACTTCATATGCTTTATCAGCCCGACAAACACGTGCAAGACGTGCCTCGAAACTAGATAATTGACCAAACATGTCACTTGCGTTGGAAATCAACTTCCTCTGCCGCCCCATGGAAGTAGTTTTTTTGGGATCGCTTGCTCAACCTATGAACGGAATCAAAATTGTTCGGAGAGGATTTCAAAAAAGCCACCGATGTCGAGCGATGCACGATAAGAGCTATGACAACTAGAGTGATAAGAATGACGCGCGTTCTGTATGCAAGAGTAACCGAAAAAGGGTAAGAGAAGTCTAGTTGAAGTTCGCTATTAATATGCACGATAACATCGACGATTCGTATGGTATAACCTCTGCGGCCATAAATGTAAACGTGCGCCAATACTCGACAGAAGAATGTTGTTGATTAATTTTTCTGGGTGCTTTTATAAAAGTGGATACTGCGTTCATAGCTACATATAAATTAAGGCTGTTTTTAATATCAGGCTGCAAATAAACCGACAACAGTGACTTTGATCGTAAGCGTGTATTTATTTTGAAGAAACTTCAGGCCTATCCAGATGATGATTATCTTCCATTGGCACTGCAACATAATTGATTTTTTTTTTTGTTTCTTGATTGTCCTGAAACGAAAAAGCGCTTACCGCAGAGAGTGGTGATTATCCCGCGATTCCGGCTCAGTGTTTTCGAAGTAGCCTGTAGTTTCGAGAAAAACAGCGAAGCAAACAAATGTGGATAGTGTAACACTATTTATATCCATACACAAATCTGTGTTCCATTTCGATCAATCGGCGTACATGTGTGTGTTTCTTTGTCTGCCAGGAGGAAGCTACGGACTTCGTTATCTATTTCCAGCCTCTGCCATTGATTTTACTTTGTAATTTTCTGGACACCACAGCGTCGTCACTTACTTTTTGAGCAAAGGTAACATACGTGAAGTTTGGCATTATGTGACTACCCAACAAATGTCTTTTCTACTGTCTTATCGTACAGCATGGGCAGGCAAGATACTGCCTGCATGTTGCGCATCAGCCAGCTTGTTACCGTTCAAGCTGGCTAACTAACTATCTGTTCCCGGTTGTGCCATAATGGCGACGGCAGAACAATTGCTATTGCTCTTATCGTTCTCCAGATTGAGATGATGGTTTTGTTACTACTGTAACTATTTTCCAAATAATACAGGTTGTTCATCCTGCATCGACGGGCGGACTCGCAGAAGCGAAAACGGGCAATTTGTAAGCATTTACTCTTACATACGCATCTTGCATGCATACACGCACGCAGACGTTTATCTGTAAACATACGAAGAAATGTACGTGCGTGTCTTGTCAGTTCCACCGGCGTCTTCGCTCGTAGCCAGTAACGGTACCTGCCGCAGCCGGCCGAAAAGACGCCCGCGTCTAACCTTGACTGCCCTTGTTGCCTCGCCATGTTCAAGTCGTATAACGGCATTTGCCCGTTCGTTGCTAGACAGTGGGCAGCTTCTCCTCGAGCAAGACAGTGCAAACGAAGATGAATGATCACAGACACCACAACAATATGTTGCTTCAGACTGCTGTTATCACCTGTTTAGAATGAAACAACAGGGCAGGCTAAGGAACATAATGTCAGCTAGAGATATTATGGGGCGGAACCCGTTCAGAAATGCAATAAAACGGATTGGAAGGCGTCTAATCGTAGGGTCGTCGAACATTGCCAACCGCTAACAATACATATGCGTTCATCCGCATCTAGGCCACACCTGTATTTCATTGAGTACACATACAATACAGGCATATACAGTTACCGATGCTACAGATTGCATGTTACCTGCAGAAGTCTGAGCGTGCGAGATTGTATTATGAGAAGTATATGGCTGATACCTCTTATCGTAGCTCGTACGACAAAATCGGCCGAAACAGTTCGTTCGACCATATTTCATCTTTCCAGTATTCACCCGGAACGAATACGACTTTCTAAACGGTTCAGCTATTGAAAAGGGATAATGGTGAACGATCATAAACGCAGTCCTGATCGCCCCATTGTAGCAACTGCGGAAAAAAAAAAGACGAACTACGATTCCCTACCATAATTTGGAGAAATTATGTGCCTGGAGATAAACACTTACCTGAGTATCTATAGGTACAATACTGGAAACAGGGTGTTCTTACGCGCGAAAGAAAACTGTTTTGTACGTGCTCAGTTCAAGAATATTTGACTAAATGCGTTAATTGTAAATACAGGTAGAGAATATTGTCACACCAAAAGTATTATCTGGAAGGGAGGTTTTTCCCTCGCTAATGGATCATGATAGAAAAAAAACATCGTTTGTCTGCTCGATTGAAAATATTGTCTTGGTTTACCTATTTAAACAAACTCATATAGTATCAGAAAAGCATG